AGCTCTTATTGCTAAATTTAAGCTAATAATTAATTTTTCCCATTTTTCCCCCTATCTGACATGTCTTGTCCTAAATGCTTTAAATCAACCTCATTAAGAACATTGTAACAAGGTCAAGTGCACAGTGCTGGCAGGTGGGAAAATGCATTAAAGAACTCAAATAGCAGCAAATTAGGAACCTCTGGATAGTTCTGTGGCATAATCTAAAACCCTTCAGGGAAGACCTCATTTTTTATTTCTGAAAAGCTTCATTAACAGCATTCTGAGCTGATTTCAGCACTCACCACCTGAGGTCCCACAGGATGGGAGGTTTCACTCTCCCAGGCAGGTTCCGCAGGGCAGCCACCAAGAACCAGGCACTGACCCACCTGCTCTGGGTGGTGCTTCGACGTTCTCCAGTTTCTTGAGCTAAGAAATGAGGTTTTATCCTCATTTTTTAGGGAAGGAAATGGTGAACATCAGGAAAGAACTGGATGTGGCTGTGTCCATGGGGTCACACAATGGTTTGGGTTTGAAGGGACCTCAAAGTTCCTCCAGTGTCACCTCTGCCATGGGCAGGGAAATCTTCCACTGTCCCAGGCTGCTCCAAACCTTGTCAAAGACTGAGCTTGATGACTTTGGAGTTCTTCTCCAAATTTAATAAACTCTGTGATCCATGTCTGCATCAATCACCTGGATGTGCCTGATTTCCATGGGGGAAATCCACCCCACACAGGCCAAAACTTGGCTTTCCAACCTTTCATCTTCCTGAGAGCCCAACATCCATTTGCCATTGGCTTTGATGTAAAAGTACATCGCTGGGATTAATAAACACAGCATGCTCTACTAAACTTTTATAGATTTTAACATGAAACTAATAAAAGGTGCCATTAGAAAAAGCTGCACTTGAAAAGCCATTTCATAAAAAATCTTGTAAAAATTCCTTAAGGCATTAAAATCTCACTTCCTAAAAGGGAATGAAATACAACAGGAGGGATTTGACTCCAAGGTACCCCAGTTTGAGGACATGTAGCAAAAACCCCATGTGATTTAAGCTTCATGGGTATTGGGAAAACAAAACATTTCTTAGAGAACAGCAGTTCAGCTTGTTGAGCTTCAAAAATACATTTTTTTACTCAATATAAGCCAAATGTACAACTCTTCAAATAGAAAATGTACCAGCTCCCTGTAATACTTTGTTTTATGCCTTGTGAGCATCTTGTTAGCTCCTAAAATATATTTTTACTCCCAGTGGCTCCAGCTGAAAGGTTTAAGCCCTGCCAAGGGTTGTACAACAAGATTTACAAAGCAAGAGGAGCCGTTTGTGATAATTGACTGGAATATTTATGAAGCTGAGGCCTCAGGTCTTTCAAGGCTCTGTTGGTCAAGGAAATTCTGCTCTGTCTTTATGGCACTGAAAGTAAAAAACTCCCGGGAGATGCTGCTGGGATTCCGCCAGCCTGGAGCAAAGGAGGCTCAGGGGGCCTTTGTGGCTCTGCACAGCTCCCTGCCAGGAGGGGACAGCCAGGGGATATCAGGCTCTGCTCCCAAGGAACAGGGACAGGACAAAGGGAAACAGCCTCAAATTGTCCCAGAAGAGGTTTAGGCTGGATATTGGGAAAAATTCCTCTACAGAGAGGGGTGTCAAACATTGGATTGACCGCCCAGGGCAGAGGTGGAGTCCCTATCCAAAGGGTTGGGAGCAGTGGGAACTGTGGGAGAAGGTATTGGAGCAGGACTTCAAGCAATTTGGGGATGTAGGAAGGAAAAAAAAAAAAAGCAAAATAATTGGGAATCACCTCAAACATTTTTACATTGAGAGCAAATTATGGCAGCCTATGGTAAAATCACGAGACAGAGGCTGAAGTATAAACTGATCTCTTCCTAAATTGAGTTGTTGACACTTTGTCAGAAGCAAAATTGTTGTAACTTCCCAATGCGGTGAAGTTGGCTGTAAATTCCAAGGAGGAAAACGGATCCGTGTATTTCATCCCTTAAATAACATCCTCATGTTTCCACTGGTGTGGTGGCATGTCACCCTGATTTTTTTAAGATTTTC